TAATTGAGTAAAACTGAAATTTATTATATGCCACAGTCGTCCTACGGACCTCCATGCTATATATATATAGCCTCTATGGTTCTATGGGTTGTGGTCTGATTGTTCATTTTATATCTAGAATCCACCAATGAGTGAGTACATACCATAACTGTCTTTCTGGGTTTAAGAGACATTTTAAATTTTCTGTAGTTTAAAATATTTTTCTAGCTTTCCTCAAGATTTTCTCTTCAACCTATAGTTTACTGAAAGGAATTTTTGTTTAATTTCTGAGTAGTTGGAGGATTTTCTTGTTTTGTTAATTATTTCTACTGTTATTCCATCATACCTAGAAAATATACTTTTTAATATTTCAATTTTCTAAAAGCTGTTAAAATTTATTTTATTATCTAGAGTATAGTTATCTTGTACTATATGTATTGGAGAGGTTGTAGTTTTGAACAGGGACAGATTTTGTATTTCTGGGATGAATATACTTGGTTATGGTATATTATTCTTAGTTTATATTGTTGAATTCTTCTAAATTCAGCAAGATTTGTTGATGAGTAGAGTCTTTATAAATGTCAAGTCAATCTATTTGGTTGACAGTATTGTTTGGTTATCTACATTTGAAATGTGTTCCTCAGTATGGAAGAAGAGTTTGCCTCTAACTATGATTTTACTCTTTACATACTTGTCCTGTTCCATCAATTTTTGTTTTACACATTTTGAAACTCTGTTATTGGGTTAATAAATGTTTAATAGTAGGTCTTCTTTGTAAATTGATATTATCATTGTTGTTGTTAAATACCCATTTTTTCCCTCTGAAGTTTGCTTTGTTTGATATTTATATAGCCCTTCAGCTATTTGTTATTGCTGTTTCATTTTTAAGATAGGGTCCTGTGATGTAACCCAGGCTGCCCTTGACTCCTGACCTTCCTGCTTCCATCTCCCCAGTATTGGGGTGTGCCACCATGGCTGGTTCCCACTCATTTCTTTTTCTAAACACTTTCTTTGTATTTTTGCCTCCCTTACATGTAACATTACCTTTGAAGTCAACTTTTAGATAGCACATAGTTTGTGGTTGGTCATCTGGCCCAACAGCCTTTGCCTTTCAGTTGGGTTTAGACTAAGCACCTGGTGATGGTTGTGGGCCTTGCCTGGCCCAGGTCTGTTTCTGTGAATGAACTTCTGTGGGAGCACAGGACACCTGTTTCTTAGTTCTTCAATGGAGGAATTCAGTGGCTGTGGCAGCATGTGTGGCTTCAAAGCCTAGATTTATTATTTGGCCTTCTATAGCAAAAGAAAACCTTAGCTTCTTGTTTAATGAGTTTGGTTTAATATTACTATTTCAACATTATTTCCTCTTTATTCTCTCGTTTTCTTTTCTGGTCTCTGTACCCCCCTCTCCCCACATTCTCTTGGAGCATTTGAACATTGTGCAGCATTCCATTTTAATTTTTTTCTTTTTTGATAGTGATGGTAACTGATTTCACAGCCTCCTATGTGCCAGACAGTCTTTACCGTTAAGCCATACCACTATAACCCATTTAAATTGACATATTATATTTTTTGTTTTTTTCACCCTTCATTACTCTGTACTCAAGTGCTTCCTTGAGAGCGTACATACAAACTATTAATATGCCAGAGTATTTAATTCAATGTTGATCAATGTGAGATATAGCAATCTTATCACCCTATAGCTCCTTTTACCATCTCCTTTATATTACTGTCTATCTTACGTATTACACCTATGTACGTTCAAAAAACCTGTCATATAATAATCTTTACTTTCACTTACACAACTTCTTTCTGTCTTGAGACAGGGTCTTGCTATGGTGTGGCCTAGGCTACCTTGGAACTTACAGTGTTCCTAAAGTCTCCTGAGGCATGTGTCACTATGTCTAGTTCAATCACCAAACATTTAAAAAAAGAGTTCAAGAATAAATATTTCCCAAGATATTTGCCTTTTTATCACTCTTCAGCTTTGATGACCTGAGGGTTTTGTTTTGTTCTTCTGTTATATTTATTTATTTATTTATTTATTTATTTATTTATTTATTTAGGTTTTTCGAGACAGGGTTTCTCTGTGTAGCTTTGCGCCTTTTCCTAGAACTCACTTGGTAGCCCAGGCTGGCCTCGAACTCACAGAGATCCGCCTGGCTCTGCCTCCTGAGTGCTGGGATTAAAGGCGTGTGCCACCACCACCCTCTTTCTGTGTTTCATAGGGGGTTCACTAGCAATATGGTTTTGGTTTTCTTTCACCTGAAAATACCTTTATTTCATTATTTTGAAGTTCCCTTTTTTTCCTGCATATAGAAATACAGGTTTCCCATCCAGGTACTAACCAGGCCTGACCCTGCTTAGCTTCTGAGATCAGACGAGATCGGGTGCATTCAGGGTGGAAGCCGGGCAGTGGTGGCGCACGCCTTTAATCCCAGCACTCGGGAGGCAGAGCCAGGCGGATCTCTGAGTTCGAGGCCAGCCTGGGCTACCAAGTGAGCTCCAGGAAAGGTGCAAAGCTACGCAGAGAAACCCTGTCTCGAAGAAGAAAAAAAAAAAAAAAAGAAATACAGGTTTCCTTTTAATTTGGGGTGGGGGGGATCACATATTTTGGCATCCATAGTTTTGAATCCAAGATCTAGAACCATTCACGTTCTTCTCTATTCCTAATGTTTCCAGGGAACGCGCCCACTAAGAAGACAGAGTTCATGTACACCAAATCCTCTAGCAGATTCATGCAGGGTAAGTCATTGAGATCCAATGACGGTATTTTTAAAATGTATTTATTTATGTGTATGTGCACATGTGTCCAGGTGCCCATGAATGCCCTGGAGCTGAAGTTCCAGGTGGTTGTGAGTTGCCAGACCTGACCACTGTACTCAGGTCCTCTACAAGAGCAGTCAGTACTCTGAGCCTCTGAGCCGTCTCCCCAGACCCCTCAGAATGATTCTGAAGGCCTACTCTCTTCCCCGATTCATATGCTTTTTAAAATAAGACTCATTTGTATCGCTTCCTCCCAAGAGCAATACAAGCCCAGCACTTGTCCACACGCTGCTGTGCTTGCTGCGATCTCAGTGAACACTCGGCACAGCCTGCCGGCCATTCTCTGTCACCACGCTAAGGGAGCAAGCAGAAACTTGGGAATCTTAGTTAACCTGCCCCAAGTCTCCAGGTTAAAAAAAGAAAGAAAGAAAGAAAGAAAGAAGGAAGGAAGGATGGAAGGAAGGAAGGAAAGAAAGAAAGAAAGAAAGAAAGAAAGAAAGAAAGAAAGAAAGAAAGAAAGAAAGAAAGAAAGAAAGAAAGAAACATAGGCTTATAACTAACATGCCTGGACTGTCCATGACTCAGAAATCAACATCTGTGGAAATATTAGGGGCAGGTGACATTTCTCCTGGGCCAGTTTCTGACTTACGTGTTTCTTCTTTCTGACTTGACTCACAGAGAGAGAGGACATTCTTCTGACCTATAAAAGATGAAAAGACCGGAAGGACAGCTCATGTTTTCCTTCGATTTCCCCCAAAGACCTTTCTTGGTAGTTTCAACAGATGATGTCAGGGCAGCGTTATGGCGAGCATTGAGCTTTGGTGAGCACTGAGCTGTCCCCACTTGGCTCGAGGCCAATGTTTAGTTTCAGCTCCCTTGACATGAGTTTGCTTGTGGCACCCAAATGTTTAACATCGTCATTGTATGGGGCTGTTCTCCAGCCACTAACGGTGAGTACGGAAATGGTGATCCAGAGCCTGGCTTCTCTGTCTCTCAGGGGTGAACCCTGTAATTTCACTCATCGGATTTGCAAATGAAGGTGATCTTACACTGTTTAGCTCGGTTGCTGTTCTCCCCGTGGGTGGTGCTGTACCACCTGTCACACGGACGGGCACACTCCTGTCTGCTGCCTTCACCAAGTCCTCTATCAGGAAAGGCAACATGGAAATCTCAACACCCACAGGGAGCGACCGAGAGCCCTGCCCCAGCCTGTCTCTGCTGCCTCAGCTCTTGAGCGATTCAACACCAGCCTCCCCGAGGAGTGAAGGGGCTCAGAGAAGCTGTGACAAAATATGGACACAGTGAGTATTTCAGCTGAAGCCACTGGGGTAGTAACAGACAAAAGGAAGGGCTGATTACCCTTGTCTTTCGCCTAGAACAGTGGTTCTCAACCTGTGGGTCACGACCTCTCTAGGGTCAACTATCAGAGATCCTGGGTATCAGATGTTTACATTACAATCAAAACAGTAGCAAAATTGCAGTTATGAAGTAGCAACAAGAATAATTTTATGGTTGGGGGTCACCGCAATGTGAGGAGCTTACAGCATTAGGAAGGTTGAGAACCATGGTCCTAGAATCAGGCCATGAAGTTTTCCTTGAGGAAAAAAAAATGCCCTCCCTCATCAGAGCCTAGAAAGCAAAGCCAGGGGCCACCACAGCAAAGTAGACAGGTGCACGAAGCTCCCTAAAGTAACCCCTATGATCCAGTGTCCCTTGGACCCCCACGTTTTTCCTGCTCGATGCCCCACAATTTGCAGCCCAAGCCCCAGGGCCCTGTCACACCCCCCTAGTTTATTCCTCATGTAAAAAGCTTTTGGCCCTCACACTTTGGGGTGCTCACTTTCTTTCTGCAGACACCCACCTGCACACAAAGGATGAAGTGGTGTGCCCTACCCATTGTCTGATATCAGTTCACTTCTTAGGCCGACCTGAGAATCTATGGGGACAGAGGGAAGCTTCCTTCTCCTGCTATAGCGACAGCAACAGATCTCTTGCGGCTGTCTGTGGACTACGGTATACTTTCGTAAACGTCAGCGCATTTAAATGCAACAAACACGACAGCCCTTCGTTCCCCACACTAGCAAAGCTGTTTCACAGTTTCTAGTAAGTGGGAAATGTTAGGAGCAAACGAGGGTTTCCAACCTGACAGGCAGTGCAGTGGCTCCAGGCTGGACCCTGTAAACATTGGCATGAACAAACATGATAGAAACAGGAGCACAGGACCCCCAAATCCATGTTTTCCTGCCCTAGTCCCTTGTAGGAGGATATTTCTCTCCCACCCAACAGTTTCCAAATAACCAACACAGAGGCTAAATATTATAAATGCTCAGCTGATAGCTCAGGCTTGTTACTAGCAACCTCTTACATTTAAATTAGCCCATATTTCTCATCTATGCTTTGCCACATGGCTCATGGCTTGTTACCTCATTTTCTTTTTTTAAATTAATAATTTATTGATTATTAATTAAATTAATTAATTAAAAACTCCACTCATGGTATTCGTTAATTACAGTCATGATATTAATTACATTTGTGGTATCCATTGATTACATTTGCAGTATTCATTCAATAATTATATTTATGATATTAATTAATTACATTAATTGTATTGATTTATTACATTCATGATATTATGTCCTGATACTGCTGTCCATTTGTGGAACTTTTCCATCATACAAAACAGAGATTCTGTACTTAGGAAATCATTGCTCTATATTCCTTTCTTCTTCATCTTGAGATAACGTCTAATCTTTCTGTCTCTATAAATTTGTATATTCTATAGTAATACAATTCTATAGTATTTGTCCTGTTTTTTTAATGTAAAAACATTTTATATACAACTGCAGGAGAAATAATACACAGATAGCTTGAACATAAATACCTCATTTTCTATATGTCTTGCTTCTTCAGTGGCTGGCTGGCGTCTCCTCAGACTCTGCTGTTCTTCTTCCCAGAATCCTCTGTGTCTGGCTGTCCCACCTTCTTGCCGGGCTACCAGCCTGTCAGCTTTTTATTAACCAACGAGAATAATACATATTCACAGTGTACAGAAAGACTATTCCACAGCAGCCCCTGACTTATTAATTCTAACCAGAATGTACCTACTTCCTCCAGTCCTCCTGCTCAGGTCAAGTGGTATCCTGGAAGTTCCGGGAACACACCAACCACATTGCAGCTGCCCAGTTCTGACCCTTACCCTTGCTGGAGCATCCTCATCCCAGCTAGTGGCATGGCCCTGACTCCTCTGATCTCTCTTCTCTTCAGGTCTCTGCTCAAATGACATCACTAGAGACATGGCCATCCCCGGACGCCTCCTCAGCAGACCTCTCACTCTTCCCTGCCCAGGACACCAACAGCGATAAACTGACCAAAACTCACTCTGCTTGTCCTCTGGTGCTCCCCCGCCCCAACAACCTTAGTGACAGTGATGTCCTCTCCAGGAGGAAATCGAAAACAAACATTTCGTTGGTTTAAATTCTAAGCATGCAATTACTTTAGTTAAAAAAGAAATCCTGTTTGTACATTTGATTTAGCATAATTTTTTCTTACTTTCTCCTTTAGAAATAGGGTAATTTGTGCTGGGTGGTGGTGGTGCATGCCTTTGATTCCAGCACTCAGGAGGCAGAGACAGGTGGATCTCTGTGAGTTCAAAGCCAGCCTGGTCTACAGAGTGAGTTCCAGGATAGGCTCTAAAAGCTATGTAGAGAAGCCCTGTCTCAAAAAAATTAAAAAAAAAAAAAATAAATAAAGGAAAAAGAAATAGGGTAACTTGCATGGAAATTAATTCTGGAAACTTAAGCTATATAGTCAGCTCTTGAGAGAGAGAGAGAGAGAGAGAGAGAGAGAGAGAGAGAGAGAGAGAGAGATTTGGAGAGATAGCTCAGCAGTTAAGAGCACTTGCTGTTTGTTATAGCAGAGGACCTGGGTTTGATTCCCAGGCAGCACACACATAGTCTCTCACAACCATCTGGAACTCCAGTTCCAGGGAATCTGATGCACTCTTCTGGTCTCTACAGGTACCACACACACACACACACATACACACACACACACACACACACACAGTACACAATCATACATGCAGGCAAGATACCTACACACGCAATAAAATTTTTAAAATTTAAAAATCATAGTATTGACTTAGTGTGTGTGTGTGTGTATGTGTGTGTGTGTGTGTGTGTGAGAGAGAGAGAGAGAGAGAGAGAGAGAGAGAGAGAGAGAGAGAATGTAAAGGTCAAAAGACAGCATTCCAGTTCTCTCTTTCCATCATGTGGGTCTCAGGCATCCAACCCTGATACAATCACAGAGTCATTAGACCATCTCTGGATATTCTGTCTTCTTGGTATGTCCAATTTAAAAATCGGACCATTGTGTATATGTTTTAGATTATTCTTGTGTGTGTGTGTGTGTGTGTGTGTGTGTGTGTGTGTGTGTGTGTGGTGTTTTCCACATTTGAGTGGTACCTGTGGATGCCAGATGCCAGAAGAGGATAAGGAACCCTTGGAGCTGAAGTTACAGGTGCTTGACATGGGTGCTAGGAACCAAACCTGGAAGAGCAGTAAGTACTCTTAGCCTCTGGTCCATTTCTCCAGTCCCCAAATCTCTGGATTTTAAAGCTGCTATAATTGGATTTTCTGTTATGTGTAGCCAAACATAAGACCACAAACATAATTTTAAAAACATCTCCCGCTTTCAGATTTCGTCAAGTTTCTTCTTTAAGGAAAGTATGCTCTGATCTCTAGAGAGTGGGTACTCTTTGTTACCTGAGAACAAAGATGTGGCCGAGTGTGTGGAGGGCCTGGCAGTGTCAAAGTGGAGAGTAAAGCCATGGAGAACCTGGCTGATAGCAGGCTGCTGGACCCAAATCCTGCTGCTAACACCAACTAACCCAGTGTCTCTTCTGTAAACTGGCCAGAGGAGTACTCCTACCCCAAAGAGCGTTCTGAGGGATAAAAGGTACAGTATCTCATATATGGAGCTCAGTCGAATGTTATGTTACTGGTAATAGAGTTTATTCCTTAATATAATAATGGTTTGCCTTTTGTAAATCCTCTATAAACCTTGACAAAGGATGCAACCAATTTATTTGTGTGCCCTTCTCCTTCATCCCAAAGAGAGGATAGTAAATGGCGTGTAATAAGTTCTTACTAGATATGGGATCTTACTTAAATAATTTGCCTTATTGTATTATTTAATAATTTCTTGTTTGATCAGAAGTGTGTTTTTAAAAGCATCTGGGCATTGATACCAAATTTATCTTCCCAGAGTAAATATATCTCATAAAAATCTATTCTTGGGGCTGGAGAGATGGTTTAGTTGTTAAGAGCAATCACTGCTTTTCTGGAGAACTTAAGTTCAGTTTCCAGCACCTCTACCAGGTGGCCTGTGACTCCAGCTCCAGGGGATCTGATGCCCCCTTCTGGCCTCTGTGGGTATCACACTCATGTGCACTTCTACACACATACATACAGACACACCCACATGCACATAGATAAAGGTAAAATCTTTTTTAAGGATCTATTCTTTGAATGTGTGTATGGAAGACCCATCAAAATGTTAGCAGTAATGATAATTTTCAGATTCTATGCACTGATTGTTGTTTGTGGTATTGGGGATTGAACACGGGGTCTTTTGTTGTTTGTTTGTTTTGCTTTTTTGAGACAAGGTTTCTCTGCGTGGCCCTGGCTGTCCTGACACTCACTCTGTAGACCAGGCTGACCTTGAACTCAGAGATTCGCCTGCCTCTGCCTCCCAGGTACTGAGATTAAAAGTGTGTGCCACTAGCACTGGCTGAACACAGAGTCTTAAGCATGCTACAGAAGTGTTCTACCACTAAGCTGTCTCCACACACCTTGGTATTTTGCGTGTAAAAACTCTGTAATAAAAATAGCTATTTTTAAGAAGACTACATGGGTAGTGAGCAGAAGGTGTAGGAGGAAGGAGTCAAATGCACGTCATGATGTTGGATGCCCAATAACTTTTGTTATGCTTTGTGCCTTCCTCAAAGCATTGAAGCAAGATAATAGAGTTTGAAAACCCTTGATAAATGAACATATCTTTATTATTCTATTAGAAAAAAAATGGGAGTGCAATTTTCATCTAGCAAATCCATATCCAGTGATCACCAGAGCCAGGCACATCATCTTTCACAAAGTAAACAGCACATAGCCATTTCCATCAGACTGACTGTAAGATTATTATACTCAGAAAGGAAATTCCAGGAACTTGCATTCTAATTAACATGGAAATGAAATCCACAGAATAAATATGTATCCAAAGTGTATGCAGTCCCAGGGTACAGTGTAGACAGCTGCAGGTTGATTGGATCTGGTTGCATTAACAGCGTGAGTGTTTGCTGGAGAACATCGAGTGGAAAGTTGACATTCAGTTCAATTAAGAGGAGCAAAGTAAAAATGATGAAAGCAATTTCCTTTGTTCAGTTCAATTAGGCGGCCAACTGCAGGCTACTCTTTGACCTTCCTGGGAAGGTCCAGGACGGCTTCTAATGACCGTTAAATGAACAGCCAGACTATTCTTACAAATGTTTCACAAGCAGGACTTAGGAAAGCACATTCCGGATGGAAAATCAGCCAAGGATGATTTTGCAAGAATGTTTGTGGCATGGTTTATTGTTTTCGAGTTATCAGTGTTCAATCTGGGGAGCCGGGAAGGACTGGTGAGCGTACCAGATAAGAGTGAGTGTGGGGTATACCAAGCTAGTCAAGAGACCACTCTCTGCCTCTTGCTGATTTGTGTTCCAAGAGCTGAGTGAACAAAACAAACAGCCCCTTTGGGTGCTTCCTGACATGGATGAGAGCAAGCCTGGTGTTTGCAAAGATGCACAGTTTCTCAATTAGTGTGTCTGCTTGTGGGGCTAGAGTGAAAGAAGCGAGCTGGTTCTGCCCAAGGTCATCATCATTCCAGCTGCTTTTGAAGTAAGGGGCGTACTGTTATTTCATGGACCAGTCCACACTGCAGGGCTGTGGGAATTAAGTCTCTTCTCTGGCCGGTTAACGTCCAGGTTGCCACGCCAAACACTGTGTAAACTAGAGCTGCTAGAACCGGTTTTGAGACTGTTGTCCTTTCCTCCACACCCCCATCCCTTCTCACTGGGATTCAGAGTCAGCATTCACAGCAGACACTGGGCCACCCTCCATGCTGGAGGTTTCCATGTAAAATCTGCCACCATTTGTCCCCAACAACTCACCCCAGACTGGGTGTTTTGACTCAAAACCACAGGCTCTTTAAAATGTAAATGGATTAGGTTATTGTTATGTTTAACTAAAGTACAAGACATACTTGAATTCTGCTTTAATACTATGGTTGAAGTAATACGCTCTACACAAGAGTTTTCAAATTCTAACAAAACAGGATAGCATAAATAATAGCAAAGGTTTCCTTCTTCCTCCTCCCTTCCTTGTTTTTCTCCATTGAAATCCAGTGCATTGTAAAAAACAACCATAATAAACTTTTACATTTCCCCCTTAGCAGGTAGGGGCCCCGTGAGTCTGGAGCAGCCTTTCAGTGTGCATTGATCAGTAGTAGCTGGTCAAAGTGCCAAGGAACAAATTCAAGCCCGAGCTTCGAGAGTCTCCTGTAGCGTCTTGTCTTCTACCTTTGGAAAGAGGCAGTCGCTGAGTGACCAGCCCCCAGGAGAGCTTGCTGAAGCTGAGACACAAGCTAAAAAAAAACCAGTTGTTATCTTAAGCTACTAATTGCGGGAGTGATTTGTTATGCATCAAAAGGTGAACAATGGCATATTTTCTGGCGTCTCTAATCTATAAGGACACAGAAGCATGGGCTAGAGGAGGAACCGGAAGTATGAGCCTAATGGGATCCAAAGAAGAGCATAGCACAATCACCATCCTTGCAGCACAAGGGAAATCAGGGAGAGGCGAGAGAACGCGTAGGAAGAAGTGGTTTTCCACTTTGATACATTGTATAGAGTCTTGCCAGCCTGCTTCAGAGCTGCGCAGGCTCAAAGCTGTTTCTGGAATTTGCTGTCAATTTGCTCTATTGTCCGAACTGGATAGTACAGATGTATGGATGGCTCTTCCACCTGGAACTCAGCACAGAGAATGCTCATGACGGTGTTTGTGATTTTCGAAGGTTTTGTATGCTTTGTGGCAATTGCTGCCTGACTGATAACCTCACCTCCTAGGACCTCTAGGGGTTGAGACCCAAGGAGCAGAAGGACCCTAGAAACTGCTGTCATCTGAGTGCAGCAGGAGCCAGTGGGAACCAGTTTCTGCAGACAGCCTGGGAACAGAGGTCAGCTAGGCTGTGGGCCTGTGCAGAGATCCACACTGGACCCCTGCTCAGGGCAGGTGATTACCGAAGAGAGGGCTCATGGGGAGGCTTACACCAGGTCCATATCTACTCAGCCTGGAATGGGCAGGTCTAGAAATGGTGAAGAGAGTCCAAGTATGATGGTGCATGCCTGCAATTCCAGCATTTGAGAGGGTGAAGCAGGAGGAGCAAAAATTCAAAACCAGCCTGGGGTACAACATCATGAGTCCCTGACCAGCCTGGGCCATCTAGAGAGACTGTTTCAAAAGAGAAAAATAGACGTTGGAGAAGAAGAGACTGTT